GGACCAACCTTTCACTTATTAGGTCTAATGGTAGACCACCTACCAGCCCATCAATGCTCTAAATCCATTGGGCCCACCAAGGCTCAATAATAAATGGGCCCACATATAGCCCAATTCCTAAATAGAAAGGCGAGCCCAACCCAAGGGCCCCAAGCCCAATTATGCTCTCCCATGGCCCAAAGCGCTTTAGAATGAAGTCCAAACTCCAGGCCCAATTCCTAAGGCCCAACACAAAGCTTAGCCCAAAAAGAAAAACCCCAGAAGGAGGTACGCGAGGCGTACCCCCTTGGTACACTCAGCGTACCCAAACGCGCATGGATCTGATCGGGGCCTCAAATGACTACGTTGCGCATTCCGAGACTTACGCCCATCATAAGTCCCAGACTTACAATTTCTATGATTTAGGTCTGAATGGGTTAAGATAATAGCTAATATCTCAAATCTCGACATTCCTCAGTCTCCTAAACCATAAAGTCGAGACCTTTAGGCCTTTGCATGGCTAAAAGGTTATAACTCACTTCAACCTTTTATCCTCTTTTCTCATTAAGACCACAACTCATGCATGACTCCATAACCACAACCAAGTTTGGATTTTTATGGATTCACAACACTCGAATCACTGAAATGGGATAGATCTAGGTCCATGGAGTCCCTTTTGCTCATAAAGTCTCCACCTTTGGGACTTAAACCCTAAAATGGACCTTGAAGCATAAAACAAGAAGGGCAAAGAGAGCTAGAAGCTTTTTACCTCAGAAAGAAGCTCCAACCTATGTAGAACTTGGATCTACTCTTTCTCTCTAACTTCAAGCTCTTCCAATGGCCTCCTCTTCATCTTCTTCACCTTGAAATGGCACCATCAAGCTTAAGAACACACACACAAGCCTACTACGGGTTTTCTTCTCTCTTAGGGTTCACTCTCTGAAGTATGGTGGCTGGGGGAAAGGCCTTAATATTCCTTTTATAGTGCACAAGTCAGAATTAGGGTTTGAGTCTGAGCTCACTACGCCCAGCGTAGTTTAAGGTACACCTAGTCTACCGTGTGTATACCGCGTCCAACTTAAGCGTATGAGTACGCGCATTGTACTCCTTTGTACGCCCATCATACTCATCTACCACAATTTCCTTTAAGGCCAAACTTGACAACTTGAAGAAGATGAAGAGCTAAATAAACATACCCCAAATTCCCTGGTGTTACACACCAACTTCAGCCCATCATAACGATGATCTACATTTACGTCCATACAACGCCTCGAAGGGAGCAACTTTGATGCACAAGTGATAACTATTGTTGTATGAGAATTCGATTAAGGGCAAGTGGGTATCCCACGACTTTCCAAAGTCTATCACACACGCGCGAAGCATGTCTTCAAGCGTCTGAATGGTTCGTTCGCTTTGACCATCCGTTTGCGGATGATAAGCAGTGCTCATGTCGAGTTGTGTTCCGAGCGCTTTCTGAAGTGATTCCCAAAAATGTGAAGTGAATCTACTATCTCTATCTAAGATGATAGATATTGGCACTCTGTGGAGTCTCATAATTTCCTTGATGTAGATCCTCATTAATTGTTCCATTTAGTATGACTCTTTGATTGGTAGGAAATGAGCGGATTTTTTCAACTTGTCGATTATTACCCATATGGTATCTAAACCATCTGTCGTCTTGGGTAGTTTGGTCGCAAAGTCCATGGTAATCCTTTCCCATTTCCACTCAGGAATTACTGGTTGCTGTAGTAATCCCGAGGGCTTATGATATTCCACCTTTACCTTAGCACAAGTGAGGCATTTGCTAACATAGGTGGCAATCTTTGCCTTCATGTTGGGTCACCAATAATGTTGCTTGATATCCAAGTACATTTATCTGAACCCGGATGGATGGAGTATCGTGTTTTGTGGGCTTCATTCATGACTACTTCTCTGAATCCCCCAAGTTTAGGGATCTAAATGCGGTTCATAAAATAATATGCTCTGTCATCCTTCACTTCGAAATTCTTTTCCATTCCACGTAATGCTTCGCTTGTTTTGTTTTCCGTCTTCATGGCATCGGATTAGGCCGCTCTGATTTGTGAGGTCAGGTGGGATTGAATGGTTATTGAGAGAGTCTTTACACGACGATTCAAGTATTCTTTCCGACTCAAGGCATCAACTACCACGTTAGCTTTCCATGGGTGGTACTTGATTTCACACTCATAATCATTTAGTAGCTCAACCCATCTTCATTGCCTCATGTTCAACTCTTTTTGATTTAAGATGTGCTGGAGACTATTGTGGTCCATGAAAATGGTGCACCTTGTTCCATAAAGGTAGTGCCTCCAAATTTTCAAGGCGAAGACCACTGCTCCCACTTCTAGATCATGGGTCGTATAGTTCATCTCATGTGTCTTTAGTTGTCGGGATGTATAAGTTATCACCTTCCCACGTTGCATGAGTACACAACCTAAACCCTGATTCGATGCGTCGCAGTAAACTATGAAGTCTTTTGTTCCCCCTGGTAGCGATAGTACCAGTGCACTGCAGAGTGCGTGCTTCAGAGTTCGGAATGCAGCTTCTTGCTTATTTGTCCATTCAAAGGGTACACCCTTTTATGTAAGCATGGTAAGTGGCTTGGCTGTCTTAGAAATGTTCCGGATGAACCTCCTGTAATAGCCTGCGAGACCTAAAAATTGGCGAATTTATGTGGGTGTCGTTGGGCTCGCCCATCCTTCGATGGCTTTGACCTTAGAAGGATCCACGTGTATCCCTTCTTGACTAACAACATGACCCAAAAAGTTCACCCTACGGAGCTAGAACTCACACTTAGAGAGTTTTGCGTATAGCTTTTCAGTTCGTAGGGTTTCCAGGATTTTTCGGAGATGTTGGCCATGCTCCTCTTCGCTTCGAGAGTAAACTAGAATGTCGTCAATGAAAACGATGACAAAGTTGTTGAGTAATGGTCGTCAGATTTGATTGAGTAGGTCCATGAATATGGAAGGGGCATTTGTTAGACCGAAGGGCATTACAACAAATTCATAATGTCCATAACGAGTTCAAAAAGTGGTTTTGGGGATATCCTCTTCCTGGACCTTGAGCTGATGGTATCCAGATCGTAGATCTATTTTGGAGAAATAGCTTGCGCCTTGAAGTTGGTCAAATAGATCGTCGATTCGTGGAAGTGGAAAGCGATTTTTGACAGTGAGCTTATTTAGTTCCCTATAGTCAATGCACATCCTAAAGGATCCGTCTTTCTTCTTAACAAAGAGAACCAGAGCTCCCCAGGGTGAGAAACTAGGTCGGATGAATCCTTTGTCCAAAAGCTCACTGAGTTGGTTGGACAATTCTTGCATCTCCGCAGGAGCCAATCTGTAGGGCGATTTGGCGATGGGTGTAGCTCCTGGCACAAGGTCAGTTCGAAACTCGACTTATCTTTCTGGGGGTATCCCCGGAAGATGTTCAAGAAAGACATCCGAGAACTCACAAGCTACTAGAATGTCTCGAATATTGACCTCTTCCTTGGACTTATCCACTATATGAGCCAGAAATGTCAAGTCTTTCTTTTGTAGATACTTATGTGCCTTAATGCATGAGATAAGACAAAGGTTCATGCTGGGTTTGTCTCCGTATATAATTAGGGTTTCGCGATTTGGAAGGTGAAGGCGAACGGCCTTCTCATGACACATAATTTCAGCATGGAGGGGGCTTAACCAATCCATGCCAATAATCACATCAAAACTCCTAATGGAAACAGGCATTAAGTTTATTTGAAAGACATGTTGGTTCAAGGTTAGGGTACGTCCGATGTAGGTTTCCCAGTGGATTCTGTTTTCCTATTGGTCATTTCCACCGTAAAGGTTTCATTAAGCTTCTGGGGTTGTTGTTTTAACAAGTGTTTAAATCTATTGCTCACAAAGCTTCTTTTATCTCCGGTATCAAATAAGATGAATGCATATGTGTGGTTTAGGAGAAACGTACCTATGACAACAGCGGGATCCTGAACCGCTTCTCCCTGACCCATGGTCAGCACTCTTCCTGTTCCTCCATTCCTAGGGTTGTTGTTGTTGTTGTTGTTGGGGCAGTTTCGACGAAAATGCCCAGTCTTTCCACATCCATAGCAGGTGTGGCTTGGTCCAACGTTGTTGCCGCTGTTGTTGTTGTTGTTGCTCAGCAACTGGTATTGTTGGGGATGAGTCCTACAATATCTTGCCGTGTGACCTTTTCTATTGTAACTGGTACAGTGCATCTCTCTACATATTCCATGATGATGGAAACTGCATTTGTTGCATTTTGGAAGACTTCCAGCATATGTTCTCCCTAGTGTTAGTGTAGTAGTTGCCATGGCAGCATTGACAGTAATAACATGTTGTTTCTTCGAGGATCCTTAAGTTGGCTGTCCCTTTCTCTTATTTCCTGACGTTCGCTTACTGCTCTTAAGCTTGGGATTTGGAGTGCCTTGATATGCGATCACTCATTGGTTTCCGTGGTCGTTACTTCGACTGGTGTTGTCGACGTTATTTCCTCCTCTGTTGGTGTTGTTTGCATTGAGTTGTTCCATAGCAACAGTTACGGCAGCGGTGACAGCAACTTGGAATGTAGTAAGGTCCATTTGCAAGAGTGGTGCTTCACGAGTGTGCTCGTTATTTCTATGGAATGGCGTCTTCTAATGCATGATGATAAGCAGGACCGTAAGTAACGACGACCATTTCCGGTGGTGCTCTGAAATTTTCGCGTTTTGTCATATGGTTCACAATGTTTCGATCTATATCCCTATGGTGTGTTTTTGTTTGTTTGTGCACATAAGCGAAACCTCATATTAAAACATATAGCATTTCTGCTAGAAATAGCCATTTTTAATACAAGAAAATTTGCCTAAATGACAAACTTTTCATAAGAAAATGTACGATCCGACAGTATTACGACATAATATCCATAGAAACACAATACTAATAGGAGGTGCTGATGGTTCTACATATTGTAGAACTTATAATAGCAAGTAGTAAAGTAAGTCCCATCGGTAGAGATGACGACGACACTCAATCGTCGAGCTGGCGTATCAGGAGTTCTACCAGTTCATCCGCCTCTTGGGTGATTACCTCTACCCTTTGCTCGGCTTGTACAGCCCTTGCCTTGGCCGTAATAAGTTGAAGCTTGAGGCTGATAATTGCCTCATCGAGAGAGCGTAGATAGTTTGTATCAACCCTTTGAACTGTGCAGGAATCTGGCGGGGCTTTCGACAACTGGGGTTCACTACGTGCCTCCTCTACGCCCTTCTCTTTGTCTAACTCCTGGTCAGACTCGTCATATTCAAAATCAATTATCACATATTCGTCCTGTTCCACTTCAGGTCCAACGTCGAGTGCTCCCCCCTGATCTCCCTTGGGCTCGTCCTCGATCATCCTGTGGGCCACTAAGACCTGATGAAACTGAATGCCCTGGTGCTCTCCTTCCATGGTGACTGAGAGAAGGTATATGAATAAATTATCATCACTCCTAAGACGTTTTAATTTCTATATAAATTGAGTTGATGTTCTCTTCTCGGTAAAAAAGGGATATGTTTTTAGGTTTACCAACCATCGTGATTTCCTCGGGGCATGTGATAGTTGTACCTCGGAGGAAATGTAGTTGATCAGGCTACATTCACAAATAAGGAAATCCAAGTCCAAAATCGACTTAAACCGGGATTTTTAGGGTTTCCAATTATTTGTTGACTATTTGAAGTGTTTGTATAGAGTGTTTGATGGAAAATTTGTTATTGAATAAGCATCCTACATGCTTTCACATTTTTTGTTCACAAATGTTATCATTGTTGTTATTACATGGTATAGAATTCCTAGTTGTGACAATGAACCACAAGATCAGTTTTTATTAAAGGGTAAGATTTGGTCTTCATGTCTTATAAAATACAAGTGGTCTCAAATGAACCTATATATATATATATATATATATATATATATATATATATATATATATATATATATATATATATATATATATATATAATGTGTGAATGTATACAACTCATCTTAGGAGTATATAATTATGATAAATAATAAAATCTCAAACAATTTCCTTGTTATCTCGTACAACCGGCACCTTTGGTTCTTCAACCCCCAATTCTTTTTTACCTAATTTTTTTCCATCCAACCACCCTCCTCTCTAGCGACAAAAGTAATCCTTCGACGCCTCTCCTACACTAAACACCAACCCTGCATCGTTAGCTTCCCATGGAGGAATTGATTCAAATACCCCCAAGTCTAATTCTATTTCATAGTAATTTCTCGTCTATAATCTGTAAGTGTCACTTATTTTTCTTGATACTCTCTACTGATTTGAATGCCACTCGGCTTTTAGGTTTTAAAGATTTAGTTATGCACACATTTTTATTCATTAATAAATTGTTGTATTATTTTCGATTTGGATTTTTGATATTTTATCCCGATTTCGGTATATGATCAGATGAAGAAAAAAAAACAATTTTAATACATCTTCTTATCGTACATTATTTCTTCACTTGAGTAGAAATTGGGGATTGAGTCGCACTGTTGCATTCACCATCCATTATGTTTTCAAAAATATTGTAGTTTGTTACTAGCCTTTGATCCCTCAAACAATGGTATTGATTTTATTATTTTACTTAAATGTGTATGTATGTGCCTTCCAAATTGGTTAATATGTTTGATTTACCCATTTGTTAAGGTTTATGTTTTTTTTTCTCTTTTTTACTCATTTCAATCTATATTACTACTAAATTTATTAATTTTCTTGTTTATAGATTTGTGAAGGTCCACAACTTTCCTTGCCAATCTCTATGATGATTGTGGTTTGTGAAATTTGGCTAAATAGGACCTGAATTTTTTCTTTGCAATCTAATCATCTGCATCGTCAGTTTACTTTTATAATTTGGAATTTAAGATAAATTATTCATGGTTTATGGTGATTTCATTGTGTAGAGACCTACAAGTAACAATCCATATAAATGGTATAATCCCATTGAGGAGACTCATGGAAATAATATTAGAAGGTTATTTCTTCAAAAATTGTATATTTCCTAAAGCAAATAATTGTTTTATAAATAAATGAAATGATGGGTATTGATTATATAATTGTTTTCATATATTTGGATGCAACTTAGGGTTGCTTTCTAGTACACTTTTTGTGGGAGAGGAGGTAACCCTTTTGACACAAGTACTAAAATGTGGCCATGGGAAGATGGTACTATTTCTTTAGCCATGGCAAATAGAAGAATTAAGATCATTTGTTTTTAGACTTCTTATTTATTTGGTAAAAATTTGGTCAATTGTGTAGTTAGATTTTGCTCATTGCATTCGTTTTTGTTGTAGTGGGGGTGAATTCTAGTTCCTAAAGAAACTTGGAGTTTATAGGTGGTGTTTTCATGATAAGTGGACTTATATTATTATATTTATCATATAATGTTGTCGAATTGTGTCCATATATTGTAATTTGTAATGTTATGTTTTGATTGTTGATCAGGTTTTTAAATGGAACTATTCATTAGCTTGTTATTATGGTTTTAGGAATCTAATGCAAATCGGGATGAAATTATGGCTCTTGCGAAAGAACTTCAGGTAATTTCTCATGGTTAAATATAAAAGAAGGGGTAAAAATAGTTGTGATTCAATTAAGTTCATTCTTTCATAATGCTCATTCCGGAGTTGTGGAGTGGAATACTGGAAAAGTAGGTTCTTAATTGATTTAAAATTTTCTCCTAATTAAAAAATCTATAATCTTGGTGCCAAATGTTCTAATATTTCTCTTTCTTGATTATACGAGGAAAGAAAAATTTTTAATTGAGCGATTTGTTGCTTTAGGTTCAAATATGGAGAGGTAAAGATAGAGGCATGAAAAACCCATTCAAAAACAAAGACAAATTATTCAAGAATGATGAAAAATTCTTATATATATATATATATATATATATATATATATATATATATATATATATATATATATATATATATATTCTTTAAGAGTGTTGACATATTCCGAAAGAATGTAGTATATAAGATTGTCTATACTCTTTGTTTTTTGTTATAAAAATGGTTGTTTTACGATATAAGAATGGTTCTTATTTTTGTAATATATATACTTGATTATATCGCAATACATTTATTTTAAAAGAATAATATGCTATTGTCTAATGTATATAGGTGTATTCTTTAGGAATGTTAAATCTAAAAAACTCTTTGAATGAAATTGTATTTTTAAGAATTAAAGAATGAAAGTGTATTTTCATATATATATCTATATATATATATATATATATATATATATATATATATATATATATATATATATGAAATGACGTCGTATTCTAAAACGTTTTCATTTAATTTGAATATTATGAATATAAAATAAGATTTGATTTTATTTTTATTAATTAATATAACTAAATTGGTAAAATACTAAAATGTAGGTAACTTACATTTCTGTCTTAATAAAATGTCTTATTTTTCATTATAATTAATTAAATGTAATTATATAGTAATTGCTAGTCCATGTTATTGTCATGCACCTCCAAGATCATATCATTTCATTCTTTTAATCTAATGGTCATATTTTGATTATACATTCACATAATATTTACATAATATTTGTAATTCATATTTGATCCTAACCCATAGGGTTTGGATCAAATATGAATCACAAATATTGTGTGAATGTGTGACCAAATTGTAACAAGAATAGATTAGGAAAAATGAATGGTTTTGATCCAAGGATACATGATATTATCATGTATTAACATTTACTATATAATTTGACTTAATTAATTAAATGGAAAAATATAACATTTACTAAGAAAGAGAAATTTAATATTATATATATATTTTAGATAACTAATTCAAACTAGTTAATAAAAATTAAATTAAATCTTGGACTTTATTCAACATATTCAAATTAAACAAGATTTTTAGGAATATGATTTTCATTCTGTACGTCAAATTTTTTTTTCCAGTTTCATTCAAGATTTCCATTTAGAATCAACATTCTTAAAGAATATGAATGCATATCTTGAAGAATAACGTTTTGTATGAAAATAATAATTATTATTATTACAAATTACAAATGAAAGAATAGAGAACTTGAGACTGGTATATCATTTCATAGATCACGAACATTCTTAAAAAATAAAACTAAATTGCATACATTCTCAAAATATGATACAAGTAAATTTTGTAAGAATTAAAAAGAAACCGATGCTTAGAATATTGTTGAAAGAATAAAATACATTCTTCAAAAGGAATACGAAACATTCTTGAAAGGAATATGATATACTCTTAAAGATTAAATTTGCATTATGAAAGAATACAAATTATAAAAGAATAACAATTCTGAAAGAATATATTCAAAAGTTGGTGATGAATACAGTTTGTGTTTTGTCTATGGTGTTGGCTTGTCGGTTGTTTCATTGTTCAAGGAAGAGGGAGTTTATGGTTATTTCTCCGATTGATATCGATTAACACATGCATTACTATCCTCTCCTTCCATCTACTTGCATAAAAACACCATTATCAATACTTCATCATTGCAAACGACCACCATCAACCAATGGTAATTCTTTAAGAGTCATAATTCATTCTTTAAGAATCAAAAGAGATTTCTTTTGTTTAATAATTTTTTGTTTAATTCTAACATCAATCTGCAAAAGTATTGAACATCAATTTATATAATATTTTTTCTTTCGTACTTACAAAAAGTTGAAACAAAAATAAGAATCACAACTACTTTGAAACAAAAAGAAGAAAATTCTCCAAGAATATTAAGAAATAAACTTTTTATATTGCTCATCACTAGTCATAATACTCGGTTATTTATCATAAAATTCACAAAAATGTTAACAAATTAATCTTCTTTTATCCATATTAGAGTTATTTCTTTAATAATTTTGATTCTTTATAAACGTGTTGTTTAAATTGTAACAAACATATAATTACATTTATTAGTTACACATTTTGTCCACACTTTTCTAATTGGGATAATTTGTTGAAAATGCTACTTTGATTATTAAAGCTTCTCAAAAACAAATGTTTTCAAACCACTAGAGAATATACACTTTGACTTTTAAAGTCATTCATGTCATCTTTAAAAATTGGAAATTGATAACATATTTATTGTGAATTAGAGTTTAGACCTACATTTTCAAAGTCATGTTATCATTCTAAACGAGGATTACTAACTTTATAAATTTATAAATAACTTCAAGAACATATACTAAATTTGATAGTAGAAAAATAATGTGTTTCATCTCAAAAGTTCCACAGACCATTTTCTTTTCTGAAAATTCAACGTTGTGATGATTTGTAATTAAAATCATCCCTTACGACTTTAAATCTAAACCAACAAATATTAAAAAAAATATGATAAAACTTGTGAATTTACATATGAATACTCATAATCTAACGTGGTTTACAATAGATTACCCTAATAATGAGACTTGACAAGCCAACAAAACCAATGGATAGAAGAACGACAATAAGGATGGAGACTCCATCACCATTATCGGAGATTGTGGAAACAATTTGATTTGTGTTCTCACGTAAGCTTGCTTTTAATATCAAAAAACTCCATTATTAGAAGCGGAAATTAGACATCTACTAGAATCATATGTTTGCGAGGGGAGAGACATTGTCGGGTTAAGGTTCTGGCGACAATGATGAACCTGGTAATAGGTTTCTGTGATGGTTTTATGTAGGATGAAAATGATGATGCGTTAATAAGGGTTTGAAACTGATAACCCTTTTTAAGGGGTTAATAATTGATTTAATATATTTCCATAATTAATTGCAGTTAAAGTTATTATTATTTTCTTATCAAAAGATTGGCACAGAATTGGTTATATACTCATACATTACCTATGGTTTATATATGAACCTAACTTTCTCTCTCTCTCTCTCTCTCTCTCTATATATATATATATATATATATATATATATATATATATATATATATATATATATATATAGAGAGAGAGAGAGAGAGAGGTTGTTTACAAGTAATATAATAAACTAAGACTTGTATTTTCTTCTATATTCTTTTATTTTTTTAGAACAACTTAATTTTTCTTTTTGTAAAAGTGATTATTAGTTACTAAAACATAAAAAAAAAATGATATCTTGTTTTTAGGGTTAGAAATTTTTTGCTTATTATTGTAAATTGATTAAACATGACATCGTACATATTATTCTTTCTTTAAATTAAGAGTGCAAGTTTAATTTACTTTCCACAGTTAATAGTGAGGTTTAATAAGTTAAACAAAATAATTTATCAAAACGAATAGCCATAAATAAAAATCTCATGGGTTCAAACCGGAAAACCGAAAAAGACAAAAGTGAATACGTTTTTAACATTAAAAAATCGAATTTTGTGATTTTGGTTTGATTTTACCTAAAACCGACCAAATGATCACCTTTAGTATTATGTTGAAAGGAAATCATAAAATAAAAATATATACCTTTATGAAAATGTGGATATAGGAAAACGAAAACATAATCACTAAAAGGATTACATATCCGAATGAAAACATGTATTTAGATTCAACTAAACAACAAATAAATGACTTTATACATGCTTATAACCATAAGTTCATGAATTCATTGGTCACAAACTCCTTGCTTGATGACACAACAATGAGACATCTACTTGTTGGTTTGACATCATTTCCATTCCTCCATTTGGATTCCCCATTTCATTTTGCTAAGAAAAAATAAACCGAATTAGTTCACCTTCTAAAATACATTTGTCTACCAAAAAACACAAACATAAATAGAGTGACTCATGCATAAATAGAGCGAATCATATAATTCTTTAGTAATAATTATTAAAATAAAAAAAAAATGTCATTTTGATGTCCACCAATTATGAACTGTATGCCACCCTTAGCTTGTAGCTTTTGGGTTGCACGTGAGACCATTTCATTTTAGAGTGCTTAAATTTCTATATCACACGCACATATATATATTCTTAGACGTACGTCATTTATATTCATATGTAGTTTTTGTATTTTGTTATATAGGGCCAGTGTATAGCAGCCCTAATTTAACCCATATATTTTGCGTGTATTCTTATATATATATTGTTTTACGAAATCAATGCCTTTCATGAGATAATATTGATTATAACATGTTATCAGGCTTCTTCTCCTAGTAGCCCTAGCAGATCCTCATAACGTGTTTTCTTCATCCTCTTCCTTGCGTATCCTGATCAATCCTTCGTCTTTCTCACCATGCCTCCTAAAGAAGACTCCACCAACTCTATTCCCATTGGTAAGATCTACGACATTACCAACATAAAATCATATGTACCTCTCATCCTTGACATTGACAGGCTCAATTATGATTCATGGAAGGAATTGTTCAAGACCCACTATCTTGGTTATAATGTTTTCAACCACCTTGAACCTCGTAAAGATTTAGTTAAAGACTCATCATGGGACACTATTGACAACATGGTCAAACAGTGGTTATATGCCACTCTCTCTCAGCCTGTTCTTCGATCCATCATTAAACCTGGTTCTATAGTTGCTGACATTTGGAGTGCTCTTGAAGAACTGTTTCATGAAATAAGGAATCCCAAGCCATTGAACTAGAAGATGAACTAAGAAGCATGACACTTGGTAACTCTACCATTCTTTAGTATTGTACCAAGATCAAGGCCATCTTCGATCTCCTCTCTAATATCGGATCACATGTTTCTCCCAGAAACCTTGTATCCCATGCTCTTAATGATTTGCCTTCAAAGTATGTTCACACTACTCCTACAATCATGTAATCTAAACCCTTCCCTATGTTTTTGGAGATGCGTTCCATGTTAGCTCTTTAGGAACGCACATTATTAAAAAAAGAACAACGTGCACTTGGAATTTCTCATGGCGACACCCCCTCGTGTATCTCCCTCCGATGTGTCTAGTCCTCCTCGCAATACTGAGAATCCTTACATACAACCCATTAATTCTCGAATCCCTTCCTCTCAGTCTCGTGCTCCGGTCAATCCCACTTCTACGAGCATACAGCCTATGGCCACTCGTAAACGTCATGGTATTGTGAACCCATCAATAAACTCAAACTTTATATTGACTCCTCTTCCTTACCCATTTTGTGTAATTACTCTGATGCTTTTGGTGATCCTAACTAGTTGAATGCTATGAAAGATGAATTCAATGCTCTTATTTCTAACAAGACTTGGACCCTTGTGCCCCACCCCCCGATGCTAATGTGATTAATTGTACTTGGTTGTTTAAGCAGAAACATAATGTAGATGTGTCTTTAGCAAGGACAAGGTGAGGCATGTAGCAAATGGTTGTAGCTAACAACCTAGAATTCACTACGATAATACTTTTAGCCCGATTGTTAAACTGGCTATCATTCGTATCGTCCTTAGCTTGGCCATTTCTTATCATTGGTCGGTTCATCAGTTGGATGTGAAGAACGTTTTTCTTCACGGGCATCTATATGAGACTAATTATATTCATCAGCCACTAGGGTTTTGCGATCCATCAACTCCTAATCATCTTTGTTTATTGCATATGTCCCTATATGGACTCAAATAGGCACCTCGAGCATGGCATCACCAGTTTGCTCAGTTTATCACCAGTCATGGTTTTACTAATAGTAAATCAGGAACTTCTCTTTTTATTTAAAGACAGTGAGAGCAACTTGCATATGTACTTCTATATATGGATGATATTGTCGTAACCGCCTCACCTATTGTCTTCTTTAACAACTTATTAGTTCCTTAAGTTCAGAGTTCGCCATGACTGATTTAGGCGCTTTGAATTATTTTCTGGGTGTTGTTGTCACTCGTGAAAGCCATGGCATGTTTTTATCTCAACAAAAATATGCCACAGAGATTCTTAACCGTGCTAATATGCTTAATTGCAAACCCACCCGGACCCTAGCGGACACATCTGCCAAGTTTGATGGTACCCGACCCCTGTCTCTTATTCGACTTTATATCGTAGTTTGGTTGGTGCGCTTCAGTATTGGACTTTTACTAGACCTAATATTACATATGTTGTACAACAAGTTTGTCTCTTTATGCACGATCCTCACGAGCCTCACTTCGCATCTCTCAAGTGTATTTTGAGTTACATTCAGGGCACATTTGATCATGGTCTTCAGTTATACGTTTCTCCATCTCGGGGTCTCGTTGCTTACTCTAATGCAGATTGGGCTGGTTGTCGATATACACGACATTCCGCTTCTGATTGTTGTGTGTTTCTTGGTCAAAATCTTCTCTCCTGGTCGTCTTAACAAAAATGCACGATTTCTAGATCTAGTGCCGAAGAGGAATATCGGGGTGTTTCGAATGTTGTTGCTGAGACATGTTGGCTTCCCAACTTGTTATATGAGTTGCTTTATCCCCCTCTTACTTCTACCTTGGTCTATTGTGATAATGTTAGTGCGGTTTATTTGTCTACGAACCCTGTCCAACACCAACACACTAACCATATCGAGATCAACATTCATTTTGTTCATGATCAAGTCGATATGGGTTAGATTCGTGTTCTTCATGTCCCCTCCTCATTTCAATACACTGACATCTTTACCAAAGGGTTACCGTCTGCTTTGTTTCTTGATTTCAGATCTAGTCTGAATGTCCGGTGTCAATTACAGACTACGAGGGGTTGTTAGACGTCATTTGTATTCATATATAGTCTTTGTATTTTGTTATATAGGGCCCAATGTATAGCATCCCTTTTTTAGCCCATATGTTGTGCATGTATTCTTATATATATATATATATATATATATATATATATATATATATATATATATATATATATATAGTCTAATGAAATCAATGCCTTTAATGGGAGAATATTGATTATATATATATATATATATATATATATATATATGTATGTATGTATGTATGTATATATGTATATATATAAGGGGCCGTGTCAAACGGACGTGAGGTACTCTAACATTGGCCTCCTCCGCCAATTTTTCTACAACCAACTTTAGATAAATCAAATTTTTAATGGTCATATATTATAGAAAGTGATACCAAAGTTTGTTCGTGAATTCACTCATGAATTTTTACAATCTTACATTTGGGACAAACATTTAGAGCTAATACTTATTCAAATATGGTTATTCTATAGTTGAAAATCTTGGGTACAAAACCCAGGCATCCCCTTAGATCGTTGATGTTTTACGGCTTACCTCTCACATGTTGGTCTACAGTGTGGCGTGGGACACTATATTGTTTACTTTTCTTAGTTGAAAAAAGGTGACATATACTATCTATTTTACTAAATATATTATACAACTTAAAGAATGATTGCTTGATATGTTTACCATGTTTATTCAAGTTATAACTTTCGTGAAAACTTATGTGTAGCAGTTATCGACCATTAGAACATCCACGATGGTGAGTTCAATGAGAGAGTTGAATGGGATGACAAGTCTATGTGTCATTCAATGGATGAAACTCTACCAGTGTGAGATGTCACCTTGACATTCAATGGATTTGGAATTCAATGACCATTGAACTCTTTAATGGGAAAAAAAGAAGGTTTTTAATTCTTAAATATATACTATAAATTACATTTTATAACATTCTATTGAACTTTGTAGAGTTCAATGCATTGTAGGAAAAAAATAATAGAGTTGTATGAATTGTAGAAACATGATGTGGCAATCCATTGAACTATATGGAGTTCAATGTATTGTGGATATCCTTAGTTTAATTTGACAAATGCTATTAAATAAAATGAGAATTAAGCAATGCAGTTTATAAATCAGGAACCTTGGTCACTGAGAAAGTGACATCATGTGTCATAAGAGAAGATAGCAGCTCATCAGTTGACTGATGCCACAGGCTCTCTTGGTTACAACCCTGAAACCCTTCAATGCTGTGTGGTTCCTCATTCATTGTTGATTTTGGCAATGGGTCAAATATTGCATCTGACAATTGGTTCCTGAAAAATGTAACATTAGTTTAATATAATAATTTTCGTTTAAAATTTGAACTATTGTTAAGAAAACTAATTTATCCTACGTAGTACATAGTATAATGATCAAACCTAGTGACTTCATAGGTGTTTTCAGGTGAACTTGAGGTAAACATATTTGCGTGGGTTTGTCCATCCATTCGATTTGTACCATCACAAACATTTTCGGGCCAACAATTGAGATCCTCATTTTTGGATGAACTTTCTCCCTGCTGCATCTCAATTATCAGTCACATTTTTTTGAACAACAGTATTCAAATATCAGTAAAAAAATTCTCTGGGGATACATAAATAAATATCATATGACAAAATGGTAAAGTACCATGGTATTTTTATATATCATGCTTACATAACTTGCATTTATAGTGTTATACTTTTCTGCCTATTCACAAAGCAATGGCTGATTGTAAATTTGCAATAAATGACATACAAGGGTTCTAAAAGCTAATTTCTCAGTTTTATTTGATTGTTACCTGTAATACACTTGAATGGTATGCAGGTGGCTGGTTACTTAACAAATATTCCTGTAATTGAACAAAAAACAAATAAGGCTCTTATGTTTTATCTGTTTGCTGATATGAACTACTATGACGATGAACATCTATTAAGAGAAACAAGAGTACCTTGCGTTGTGTAACTTGGTCCAATGTCTTATAAAGTAACTTCTCATAGGATTCATAATCATAAAGTGATGTAAAGTTCGTTGGATCTGGCTCAAATATCCTTTGATTGAATCATAATCCAAAGTAGAGTTAGTAAATCAACATTTTACTACAATGCTGGTTGAATCTTTATCCCCAAAACAAGTCATTTATAGACGATTCTTTATACATATGTGTTGTGTTTTGGGGGTATAATAACATCCACAAACATTTTCATATATTTAGACAAAAGAACATGGAATTGAACCTTAATTGTTCCTTAGCCATATGAATTTGATGTTGTAAGGTGCTAATTTCTTGATGGATTTCCTGTCACACATAGAGTTAAAAGAAAACTACAATGAGTTTATATATTTTAATATGGATTTTGAGTTGTTTTTTAAATAAAAAAAATGTCATGTTGGTACCTCCGATTGCACATCAATTGCTCCAGGACTGATCAAAACAAAAAGTTAGCAAAGGGTTTTTATATTCGAATGTTTGTATAATACAACTTCAATATGTTAATATCTAGAGTCATCAAGATACATAAATTAGTATATAGATGGCATTAAAAGGTTATTTCCTAGAAAAAAAAGTAAAGCCTAAGAAAACGAGACAAGACTGAGACAAACCAAGGAATATGGATGGCCAAATCATTTTCACTCCTGATCTTGCTTAGGAGGCTGTTCAAATACTGCAATTTTCATTAGATTCAAAACTGTAAATACAAAAAAAAAGATTAATTATTTGGCTTTTGTAAGTTGAATAAAAAATAGAAATCGTTTCGTAGAGTCTATTTATTTGGTCATTTATCTCATAGTTGAATTTTGCTCAGATTAAAACATTGCTCAGATTAATATGCTATAAGACGACCAAATAAATAAAGAGATGAATGTCATATTATGTTGCAATTTAAAAGAAACGACATCGTTTTTCTAATTTTGTTTAGGCATCAATTCAAAATCTTTTTACTATTATATGGTTTTTTCTTAGCAACACCTTATTATAAATTTATAACCCTAAATCATTTAAACTCTAGTTAAAACGATGTTGTTTAGTATTATTATACACAAACAGCTGCATAGTGTCATCAACCTCGTACGTAAATACAATAACAAGGTGAACAAAAGGTGATTATACCATATGCATCATACAGTAAAATTGCATGGATGACTTAAAAACATACCTCTCTATGTTGAATCACACTGCAACCAAAACAAGAAACCAATTTTAGGCATCACATTATGTATTCAGAGGGAAGTAATTAAATCTAGAGAGAGAGAGAGACAGAGATTGTAAGCACCTTCCTCTATCAGAGTCGGAGAGATTTACGAATCGATTGAGTACATCTTCGGTTCTGTAAAATTAAACTGCGCGTTACAAATTCATTGTTTCAAATTCCGTGAAAACCATATTGGAAATGCAGAATCTGTGTTGAAATCAATAACCAAAAACATAAAGAACAAGATTAGGGTTAGGATTAGGATTAGACCTTCGTTTACAGGAAAAGTGGTTAAGGCGACCTGATGGAGAAAACATGATGAGAGCAATGTCGATATCACATAAAACGGAGAGCTCATAAGCCTTCTTAATGAGTCCATTTCTACGTTTGCAAAATGTGACCAATCTGCTTGTGTTGTTCTCGATTCTTTTCATTGGAAGCTTATTTCGACCCATTTCTTATTATATACATGGACCTTTCTCTTTCTATTTCAAGAAAGATATAACAATAGAAAGTAATTTCTTTCTAAAAACAGAAATTAGTTTGCATTTGTTCTCTTAAAATTCCAGTTTTAGAAAGATGGATGAAGAAGATGATGATGATGTCAGGACCTGCAACGGAGTAGGAGGAGAGAGAGAGAGAAACAATATGAATGAAGAAAATGTGTCAAAATATTGGTGGAGGGAATAGGTCATGTCTCTCCTTTTGTTTAGGTTAGATGTAAATGAATCTAATATTTTGTTACATCGTTAAATTAATTGGAGTTGTTTGTTCATTTTGACATTTTTAATGGGTTTTACTCGTAGGATTTAAGAAGAGGTGTAGAAGCTATTTTGTTAAAAGATAGAGATCAAAAGGATAAAGAAAATGATACTTATAAAAATGACCTCACATAATTTGAATATTATTGGAAATGACCCAATTTTTGCGTGATTGCCAAAATGACCACCGAGTACACATAACACAATTTCGGACTACAATGGAGAGAGCTTAGTTTTTGATATGAGGTGACGTCAAAGGATCCAAAAACTGTCATTCCGGACATACTTTTCAAAAGATGCACTTCGGATGTAGTTTTTTCAAACATAGATTGGACCTTAATGTTAGGTCCGACATTCCAGACACACATTTCAGATATTCATTCTAAAATGGTATGATGTAATCCCAATTCTACATGTATATGTCTTGGTTAAGGGTTAGACATACAAATATTTACCGCCATGGACCACAAAAAAATGCCAATTAGTGACCATAACTTAACGGTCACTAACAATAAAACAAGTCATCACTAATGATTTAGTCACCAACATTCCCGTCACTACTTTTCATCACTATAGGCACATCATAAAACCGATTTAGTGACCAAAATATAAATATGGTCAATAAATACTGACTAAAATATACTCGTCAAAGACTAAATCTTGTAACTATCAATGAAAGTCGTCATTGTTTTATCTACTTAGTGATCAATAAAAGTCGTCACTGTGTTGTCCTATCTCGTTAGTGACCATAAAAAGTCGTCATTGGCTTATCCAATTAGTTGACTATAATAAATCCTCACTAATTTATCATATTATACAAAAAATGAGGTGAATAATTAAGGGATTATGGAAATATTAAATGCCATTTTTAATATGAAATATAACAATATACAACGAGACAAAAGAAATGACAAATGCTATAAATCTTTACAATACAACAATGATAACCAAATAAATCTTTACACTTATGATATGAAATATTAAATGTCATTTAAAAAATATCCATATATTTTATCCAATATTTCAAAAAACAAATATATAAAGATCAATACAGATTAAAAGTAAATTCAATTAATAAATGTAACTAGGATAAACGTGAAAGCTAACTTCTCATAAATTCCATTTTCTTATTTTGTTCCTCTGGATATTTAATATCCTCCTCTTGAAATTGTAGTTGCTCTTCTTTAATTACCTGAATTTTCGATATCCTTTGTAAACCTAAAAATATAGATTTGTAAGGTTACATACTAATTTCACTAAAAACAACATCAACACATGACATAGAGACACGAAATTAAGAGAAATGTATGATACAAAAAAGAGCACCAGGCTCTGTTGTTATTGAAATGAGTTGTTAAAGTACAATGCTTAGTAAGAAAGTGCAATTGTGTAAAAGAATGAATTGGATGTATAGTAAAACAAATACACAAATAACATAAAGTGCATTGCTATTTCATGCATTTGTCCTAATTGTAAACATTATGGCTAAATATATTTATGCACTATAAGTTTATAACCTAATTACGAATCTAGAATCTAATGATATCATGATATCAGAACTAATAATTAATTTATTATTAGCCACCAGCCTACCACATGTGAACACCAAAAATTTCAGAAATTGGATGGGCTTGTCAGGATAATTTTTTATTAAAATATAGATATGAGGTCAAAATGGTCATTTTCATAAAATTAACGAAATGGATGTTTTCATGGACAAACCTTGGAAAAAAAAAACTATAAATATGAATGAAAAATGATAGAAGATTCTTTTTTTGAACCACATCAAAAAAAAGTTATATAAAAGAGGGGCCAAAACTATAATTTTTAAAGTTAATTTAGGGATAGCATACCAAAATAAGTTGCTTTCGGATATTTGTGCCTATTTCAGTTTGATGGATGGAGGATACCAATGCCTTAATGTACCTCCCAAGAGCTATAGCAAGAAGATCTTCAAGGCACAATGAGAACTACATTTGTATGTAACAAGCTACTGATTAGTTTTAAGTATCAAGATAATAGATAGAAATATGTAGTCATCATTAAGATGAGATGAAAAAAATGAAATCAAACTAAATATCGAATCAATACATACTTATTATTTTTTTATCACACAAATAAAAGGTTACCTTTTCGCTAGAGGCAATCTTTTTTCAATTGCTACAACTATGAAGATGCTACAAGAACGAATACATAAATGAATTAGTGAATAAATGTGTTTAATCATATATCATCAAGGTATGGAGCAAGAAGATAAAGAAATAAAATCAAACTAAAGATAAAATAAATACATATTTATATTGTAGATAAATTTCATTAATCAATAAGTATGTATTTATTTTATCTAATGCAAGAGATATAAACTAAAATGTAGTACTAACATACACATATTTTAAAGATAAACTAGCATGTCAAATAGTCTAAAGTAGAATCTTGAAGTTTTCTAATGTAAGAGAAAATGTGTTGAGAGTAAAAGGAAATTAAACCCAAGAAAAGAATATGAAAGGTGAAACATTTTCTGTGAGCCGCATGTTCCTTCTTTCTTCCCTAATCCAGTGGAAAACTTGATGGGTTTTGAGCACTCTAACACTTCCTAAGTGTACATGCAACCCTAATAACCTTGGATCTATGTTTGTCTAATAATCATGCAAAGTTGTTTTCCAAGGTTATGAACCTATCTAGCATACATGGGGGTACAATTTTCTTTGTATAAAAGATAGAACTACATACCTTGTTGTTGAAAGTGTTCCTTGAAACCTTGTGAGCCTAGCACCTCAAGTGTGATGCCTCAAATGCTTCACACAACACCAAATGCAAAGAATAAACTTGAGAGAATACTCTAACACATGCAAAATCGGCCAAGATCCTCTTGTTTCTTTTTCTAGTTGATTTTGGGGAGAGTTACATTGCTTATCTAGTGTGTTGCACTAGGTAAACCCTAATGTAACATGACTCTTCATTTCTTGATCCATGGGTTAACTCCATGGAGCATCCTATGGGTGGAACCCAACTTGATAATCCATGAAGCCTCTTAGCCCACTATATAAGATATGGAAGATTTACATAATCTACCCATATATTTAATTAGTTATCTTTTGATCACTTAATTAATTCTAAATTAATTCTTGATCAAAACTAATTAAACAATATTATTAATATATTAGAACTTATAATATATTAATAAACCATATGTGTTATTTCTCTCATTTAGTTCATCCAATTGCATGGTGCCATGCAACCCAAATGGACCATGCCGGGTCGGGTCAAGTACTTACCAGAAATAGTTATGGACTTAGACACCTTATCCAACAGTCTCCCACTTGGATAAGTCTAATAACTATAACTGCAATACTTCAAGAACCGATTGGCAATCGTAGCTCTTTCAAGGTCTCTCGGAACTGAGAAGATGTTGGTACGCCATTTAAGATAAGGGATCATATAATCCTCTGTTCTAGATATTAGCCAGACAAATACATGGAACAATGTCTTACTTATTGTCTAGCAGTTTGTTTCTCGATTTCCGATTTCTTTGACAAAGAACTTAATTGAACACATCAACTTAGTTCTGACCGGGCCCGGTACATAGGTCAAAACAAAATGATCGAGGGGCCCAGATATCAGCTTCTAATCCAAGAAGGAACATATAAACTTTGACTCGTATGTTTGTTCTACTACTAGTTGAATTATACACAAGAGCACGTTTTATAACATTAAGTTACCAATGCGGTTTCGTACAATCAATGCATAATCAATTCATAGGCAACAAATCATATCTCTAGGTTTGAAGACTTATATGATATTACCGTCTCACGATCACTCGAGATAAAATTCCATGAAGTGATTCTAGTGAGCGTACGTTGATTCCAATACTCAGAACTTATGGGTACTCATGATTGTTGTAGCCATGTCTAACACCTTAGACCTCTGCAACCAATCATGACAGTCTTACTTCATATCTACTTCCAACATATGACCGACTGTGGAAAATTTGAATAGTATGTGAAACCACAACATACTATTCTTGAAGTCAAAACATGCAAAAGAAATTATAGTAAACGATTGACAAAAGATAGTAACACTTTACTCATAAATAAACACAACTTTTATTCATCATCAAATGTCAATTACACTTTACAAATTTCATAATTTTTTCTAACTACTAAAACTTATATCATCCTTCATCCCTATGCTCCGAGCATGATGGAGATGCTAAACCCTACTCAGTCCCTTCGTGAGGGGATCTGCTGGGTTCTCATCCGATGATACCCTCTTTGCCACGTGGATTCCTTCTTCTATGTGATGTCTGATAAAATGATATTTTCTGTCGATGTGTCTGGATCTCCCGTGATCCCTTGGTTCCTTGGCTAAGGCAACAACACTTTCACTATCACAGAAAATTTCCATGGGCTCCTTTATAGCTGCTACTACTCCAAGGTCTCCAATGAAGTTCCTCATCCATATAGCCTTCTTTGCAGCCTCGCTTGCTGCTATATACTCTGATTCACAAGTGGAATTAGCCACTGTCTCCTGCTTGGAACTCTTCCAAGTGATTGCTCCTCTGTTTAGGGTAAAGACCCAGCCCGAATGAGAGCGGAAATTATCCCTATCAGTCTGGAAACGAGCATCACAATACCCTACAACTCTCAAGTCATCACTCCCACCGAGGGTAAGGAACCAGTCGTTAGTCCTCCGTAGGTACTTGAGGATATTCTTTACCGCAATTCAGTGAGCCTTGCCAGGATTCCCCTGATACCTGCTAACCATGCTCAATGCAAAGGCTACATCAGGTCGAGTACACATCGTAGCATACTTGATCGAGCCTACTGCCAAAGCATAAGGCACTCGACTCATTTATGCTATCTCAGCCTCGGTACTAGCGCTTTGTGTCTTAATCAATCTAACATTACTCTAG